CGACCTAAATTTATGAAGGATGATTAATTTAAAAAAAAAAAAAACGTTTTTTTTTTTTTCCCCAAAATATTTAGGTTTGTTTATATAGCAAATATATAAAAACACCAATTGTGATTAAATAGTAATAATACACAGTTTTTTGTAAATGCCCAAGTAAATAGATATCAAACAGGTCATGCTTTAAAATTGAACATGCTCGTGGAATGGCAACAAATTACGGTATATTAAATTATCTTTTGTCAACACGGTGACAATTGTGCGCAATAGAGGCATGGATGCTGTACATGACAGCCATCTTGTTAGGTTGCACCCATGTTGTCTCTCTTGTCCTCCCTTTTGAATGGAATGTGAGTCTGTAAGTGAACGGAGGATCTCTTATCCTAAATAAAACACAACTAGATGAGCTCCATGGCTGTAAATAAGTAATTAGTCTGATTTCAGGGGATCTGCTTAAAGACCACTTTCCTCTGCCTGATCATAAAACAATAACTCAGTCAGTCATGACCTGTTAGGCCATTAGAGCTAGAGAGTGTGCCAAAAAACATACATTCCACTTGGGTTATTTTTCATACAAATTCATAAACATCAGCAGGAACTGGGCACATTAATATGAAGTATATATTCGGATAGGTCATTTTAATATGAGTCACATGAGATCTTACATCACTATGTTAGCACCTACAATAGAGTAGAAAACAATTTCTTTTATCCGGAGTGACAAGAATATGCTATGTTTGATATCTTTGCATTTGGAATATAATTCTAAATATTAATCTGCCAGTTGCTAGGATGCTACCTGTACCTATTGAAGGTTATTGACCTTCATAAGAAATTGTAAGGGATTTGGTCATAACCTTGGTTACTGCCTAACACCCATCCTAAAACTGGATGATTGGTCATTTGTTCTCAGGAGACACCCCTTTGAGATGATAGAAAAAGACTGACAGCCTGGAGAAAAAAAAACTCTTATTTAACATCTATCAGGAACCATCTAAAAGACTCGAGAGCCAAAGCAGCCTTTTGTTTGGACAATTGGACTATGCTCAAACCAAGGACTTTTGCAAGTATTCTGCCTTCTGAACTTCTTTCTTTTATTTCTCTGTGGTTTATTGTTCTCTTTATATCTTTGTTACATCTTTTTCTGTAAATACTTTAATTGCACCATTTTGACCTTTTTAGTAAAACGTCCTATTTTCTGAAAAGTGTTGAACTGTCTCTAAAGTTTTTAATGCAAACTAAAGAATCTCTGTCTCTGAAGAGTGCTACTGTATGTAATAACCCTCTGAATATATCTGTCTGTGGTGACAGTTTGTGTTACAGATGCTTATACTATATCATAGTGTTACTAAGATTTGTGAGTTTCCTCCTTCTCTGTAAAATGGTGGTGGTGGCACAGTGTGAAGGGTTAATTGTGTAATCAACCTAACCCAGTAACAATCGCTCTCAGGCTGCTGCACATAGATTGTAGTGCCACGAACTGGAAAATCTTTGTGCAGGGTGCAGCTGAGAGTGGCATTGTTACTTAAGTGACAGCGCGGTGCGAGATTGGCTGGTCCTTCGGTCATGAGTTGGTGAGAAGGGCTGGGGTCTGACGCCACGCACCGTCACAAACATTCTAAAAAATTTTGGCTGGTTATTATTATTTTTTTTTTATCAACTTTATTGCTATCACAAGAGATGAACGACAGGTTTTGTTTTTAGAGATCTGTGGTCTACTACACCCCATATCTCACCTCTAAGTTCTAAAGTATCTGATCAAGCCAAGAACAGTTTGACCAGATGCTTTTTCAAGCAGCTAATGGCTTGTAAACAACAAGCTGAAAATAGAAATCTTGATGCTTCTGGTTTCTGACATCAGAGAAGGGGGTAAGAAACTTCCGCTCCTTCCATTCTTCTCAATGTATGTGGTCAAACCAGTTGCATCAGTCCTAGGCTCCCTGGAGGGAGAAGGCTGTGGTGGAAGGAGAGGGTTCCCTTCCACCTACACAAAAAATGGCAACCATCCCAACCTATAACCAGCCTTAGCAGTAAGGTGCACATGGAAGAGCAATGCACATCACATACAAACCAATATGGTCTTGTCTAACAGTTTTTTTGTTAAAAACAGGGTTTTGTTTGCACACATTTGCAAGTACATGCATAAGCCACAGTGCTGTGCCAAGGGCCTCCACTGTAGGAGCACATGTATAAATGGATAGGTTAAGGGCAGGTATGCCTGGAGGAGTCTGTCCCTCCTTAAAGGTACAGGGACGCACATGACACCCAGTTATACCAAATGACAGCAAGGGCATCCAGTGTGTCCCTGCATATAAATTAGCCAACTACACAAAAAAATGACCACTGTCCCAACCTAAACCCACCTTATCAGTAAGGTGCACATGGAAGGGCAATGCACATCGAAAACAAACACCATTACCTGTAAATGTGATTAAGCGGCTGTATAGCAGCTCTAATCATTTTTAAATTGTGCAGAATTGCTGTTTGAACAAAACATTTCTGGGACCATGGTTATAGCTGCAACCATGATCTCAGTATAACCACTTCATTATGAGGCTGTATATACAGTATGTACACACAGTGGTATTGAGGTGGTTAAAGAAATTTAGCATTTCTAATGTTTCAATTTAAGCATTACTAAATCATTCCTTTCCTCCAAAGTTTAATAACTTTTTTTGGTAAAACATCCCCCAGGGCAGTGCCCAGCTCCTGCACCATTTGTTTGATAATGCCTTGAATTTTAGCCTAGAAAATCTTCATTACTAAATTCTAAGCTTTGACTCCCATTGATTTCAATGTGTTTGGATTCGGCATCTGAACATTAGCAATGTTCTTTGAATCTTTCCTGAAATTAACCCAGATACTCTTTGACTGAAGAATATCCATCTTTACTATATCAATCCTACCCAGACAGAAAAATGAGGGTTTGCCAAATCAAGAGATTCTTCAAGCTAGAGCAGGGTCGGACTGACCATTTGGAAACTCAGGCACTGCCCGAGGGCCCGGGGTCAGTAGGGAGCTCCATGAGATGCCCCTGGTACCCCTTTTCATAGGCTTTTTGAGTTTGGGCAAGGACACAGGGGCCCCATGATCCCCTATTGCCCGGGGGCCCCATGAGTTGTCAGTCCGCCCCTGAGCTAGAGTGAGCAAGAGGCCAATAGTTAGTTCAGCTAGTTTGGATATGTCAATGGAGTATAGACCCTGAAGTATTTAATTACAGTTGGCTGCTATTAGAACTGAAAATTCTGTTGCAATTGGTTATGTATTTGAGGGAAGAGGGAGATATTGGACACCTCAATTTTACCAAAAATTAACCCTAAAATTGCTCAGATAAGAAAATGTATCAAATTCTTTCAGAAATAGTGGGACTGATATCATTACATTTCAGACATAAAGAAGTAGGCCATCTGCATATGTACGGTAAACATCCTATAATAATGCTAGTATATTATCTGCTCTTATGGACCTGTGAATACAGAAGTGTAGCTGCCTCCTACTTCTCTTATATCCTGTTATAGATATCCTAATATAGATAACAAAAACTACAAAAAGTTTAGTGTGGCGCTACCCAATGCTTTAAGATTAGTGTTAAAAAGTGTGCTAAGAAATGTAAATATAAAGTACTGAAGACTATTAAGTGCTATAAAACACCTCCCTCCATTTTAAGTGTATCCTCTTCAAATTTAAAATGTATATGTGCATTGCATTACAAGTGCATCCTCCTCAAAATTGGTATACAAGGCACTACAAAACACCTCCCTCTACTTAAACACAACATATACTCCTGTTCGAAAACTATACAATTATAAATATTTAAATTGTCCACTTATGCAAATAATGCAGTTTGTGTAATCCCAGTAGTGAATCCTTGAAAGAAAGTGCTCTTATGGTGCAGTCTACATAAAGTGCTCTTAAAATGATAAATAGGTGTTTTGTTCCTCCATGTGACACTTGTGCTCCCCCCTTTTTTGGTTCTGCACTCACCAGAACTCCAAGACTCTTTTTGTACAGGCGAGCCACATGCGCTTGATACATCTTCCACCGTTTCCTTAGCTCTTCCGTGTCCCCTCTCAGTGTATCTCTTGGGTCCCCATTTCTCCTTTCTCCTCCACTCCACCAATTTTGTTCCAAGAGAACTAAAAAGCAGAGTTCCAGCAGTGTATTGTTTTTCCCTTTGTTGCTTCTTATTTACTTAACAATACTGAGCACTCCTTCTTGGTTTTGCCACAGCTAAGTTCAGTTTTGTTCAAGGACCTTAACCACTTGCCTACCAGGCACTTATACCCCCTTCCTTACCAGGCCAATTTTCAGCTTTCAGCGCTGCCACATTTTGATGGACAATTGCGCGGTCATGCAACATTGTACCCATATGAAATTTTGATCATTTTTTTCTCACAAATGAAGCTTTCTTTTGGGGGTATTTAATCGCCACTGGGCGCTTTACTTTTTGCGCTATAAATTAAAAAAGTGCAAAAAATTTGAAAAAAAAAAAAAAAGTTTCTTTGTTTCTGTTATAAAAATTTTTCAAACAGGTATTTTTTCTCCTTCACTGATGTGCGTTGATGAGGCAGCACTGATGGACACTGATAGGCGGCACTGATGGGCACTGATAGGCAGCACTAAAGGGCACTGATAGGCAGTACTAATGAGGTGGCACGGATAGGCGGCACTGATAGGCAGCACTAATGAGGTGCCACGGATAGGCGGCACTAATATGCAGCACTGATAGGCGGCACTGATAGGTGACACTGATGATGGGTACTGATAGATGGCACTGACTGGCATCACTGCTGGGCACTGACTGGCGGCACTGACTGGCACAACCGCTGGGCACTGACTGGTGGCACTGACTGGCAGCACTGCTGGGCTGCACTGGTGGGTGGCACTGGTGGGCAGCACTGGTGGGTGGCACTGGTGGGCACAGGTGGGTGGGCACAGGTGGGTGGCACTGCTGGGCACAGGTAGGTGGCACTTCTGGGCACAGGTGTGTGACACTGCAGAGTGGCACAGGTGGGTGCACTGCTGGGCACAGGTGGGTGCACTACTGGGCACAGGTGAGCGGAGCTAGTGGAGCTAGTGGGCGCACTGCTGGGCACAGGTGGGCGGAACTTGTGGGTGGCACTGCTGGGCACCGATCATCAGGGCACTGATCATCAGTGCCCTGATGATCGGTGCCGATCCTTGCTCTGACAACTGCCAGTTCTCGGCAGTACTTTCCTCACGATCTGACAGCGTGAGGAAAGTGCAGCCGAGAACCGGCACTTGCATTTCCCTGTGATCAGCGTGTCATTGGACACCGCTGATCACGTGGTAAAAGGCCGGTATGATCGGCCTTTTACCACATCTCGTGATCAGCTGTGTCCGTAGGACACAGCGATCACGGAGATTGCGGGGGTGCGCGCCCCCTGGGGCACGCAGGAGAGCGCGTTCTGGGGGGACGTCATATGACGTCCACCCAGAACTGGCCGGCCGCAGTGAAGCCGTCATTCGGCTATCTGCGGTCGGCAACTAGTTAACTGGTTTATCTGGAACCTAACAGTCAAGAAACACTTTATTAAAGAAGCAAAGGACAGTGATGTCTCAGCATCATTGATTGATGAGACTAATTTAGACAATAGTGGTACTCTACAAACTCTTATGGACCTGTGAAAGGAGGGTTAACTTGACAGTCAATGTGTAGAAAATTATGATCCACCTGTGGAACACACAGGTTTCTGCCCTAAATCAGTTTTCTTCCCTTCACAGTCTAAAGACCCTTTTATAGAAACCTACTATCAAGTGGTATATAGGGACCTGCTACAGATTTGTAACAGGAAGTCCTGGTCCAACAAACACAATCTATCTCGGGCTGAAAACATATCTCTAAAAAACCTTGAGAATAATTCCAAAATCATTATCAAACAAGCGAACAAGGGCGGTAGCTTAGTGATCAAAAAGAGTGAGGATTACCTCAGTGAATCATATAGACTATTATCTGATTCAAACACCAGAATCCGCTCCTTGTTTTTCAGCCAGCTCTAAAGAATCTGGTGGATGAAGCCCATAAAGAAGGAGTGCTCACAAAGAGGAAATAGCAATTTTTGCTGCTGCCTCAATGCAGCAGCCCTTATTATTACCACCTGCCTAAGATACACAAGTCCACCACCAACCCACTGGGGAGAGCTCACATTGCGGGTACTTCTAGTTTCACCAGTGATTTATCTCAATATATAGATTTATTTCTCCAGCCTATTATAACCCAGCTTCTGTTCTTTATTCAGGACTTGGGACATGTAATTCAGTTGTTACAGAATTACAAGTGGGAAAGTCACTATATGTGGGCATTACTAGATGTTAGCTCTCTATATACATCGATCCCACATAAGGTTGAACTAGAAGCTCTCAAACATTTTTTGCTCAAAGATCCCAATTTGAATTCCCACCAGTCCCAGTTTTTACTGAACATAACCAGATTTTGCCTCAAGCAACTATTTCACCTTCCTTGACAAATTCTACCACCAGATCAAGGGAACAGCTATGTTTAATCTGGGACTGTACCAGTGAAGCTTTCTTTGATTTTGTTTCTCATTGCAATGCTAATGACTTAGGGCTGAATTTTGCCCATGTCATTGACCCCAATAGTCTAATTGTTTTGGATCTGGAACTCACTTATGGTAAGGACCAAATTATCATCGAAAATTACTCTAAACCCACAGGAGGTAATTCATATCTGTTTTACACAAGCTGCCATCACCCCTCTTGGAAGAATAATATACCTAAGGGACAATTCTACAGAATGAGAAGGAACTGTACCAAAACTGAGGATTATGTCTCCCAGAGTCACATTTTGATGGATGAGTTCAGGAAGAAGGGCTATCTGGATGATCTATTGTCAGAAGCCTTCACAAAAAGTTTTCTAGATAGTCCTATTGGGTCTCCTTTATCCAAGGAACCATCAGCACACTACACATCCAATGTGAGGTTTGTCACGTATTTAATAGTGATTTTAGAGCCATTAGTTACACTATGAGAAAACATTGGCACATTTGCAATCAGACCCCAAATTAGTCCCTATTCACCCACAGCCCCCCAGGTCACTTTTCGATGAGCGAGAACATTAAAGAACCAGATTTCTCCCCATAAAATTAAGGGTTCAGTTAATAATAAATGCATTGAGATTAGATCCTACTTTGACAACAGAATTGAAATTTTCCAATGCAAAAATCTTTGCTGTTTGACATGCCAATTCATTCAGCATGGGCAGACCAATTTTGTTGCCAATCTGGGATTGGATTGTAAATGGACCCTAGGTCAATTACAAATAGAAGTTTTGCTGCTAAACATGCTTAGGTCTAGAGTTTGAGCAAAATACTTTCATATTTAGTCCTGTTTAATTCCATTTGGGTCTCCTAGAGATCTATTTAAGATTGATCATAATTGTTAACTAGTCTGGTACTAGATGCTTTGTTAGCTATAACTTTGGGACTATTTTTTTTTCCTTTAAAGCAGAACCACTAAGTCATTTCTGTACCTCCAATTTTCACTGGACAATGCATCAGCATTACTGGAGGACCAAGATGTAAGAAGATAATTTAGGAAGCAACACAATTGAACAAAAAGCAGTAATGATCTTACTGGCCACGCAGTGTGGAAAGAATGCACAAATCACAAGTCTTGTTAAACAAAGGTCAAAAGTCATATATGGTTTTCATTAGTCTGCTTTGCTCCACTCAAATACCTGGAGTTTCACATTATTAATATTAGGGGTACTGTTGAGGGCTGAGATCTAGTACTGGCATTTTTGTAGGGGGGGGGGGGCTGAGCCAATCTTTTATGCGTCATCTGGAAAGTGTTCTTTGTTTTCTATATTATTCCTTTCAGTGATGCTCTCACATGTAATTTATTTTATGCAGCCATATTTTTAAGGAAGAGACTTAAAAAGGTCCTCATCTTAACTCAAAGTATATTTATACTGTACATTAAAAAAATATACATTTTAAAGGTTAGCCCAGCCACAACTGATATTTCAGTTTTAAGTAGATTCTGGGGAGTTAAAGTACTCATTGGTTTCTTATAGGTCTTGGAGGCTCTGTTGATGAGATTTGCTGTGTCCAATATGAATGGTCCCACAACAGCTGTTTTTTTTAAAATGTTTTTTATATTTTGACATGGAGAATGGAGGCACTGGAAAACCCAGAGGTGGGTATGAAAGTACACTTCTAAGGTTGACAGAAACAGAGTAGGGACTTTGGGGATTTGTCTCTGGAAACACCCCGTCCTTTGGATACTGATAAACCTCACAATAAAATCCTTTTTTAATTTTGTAGTTTCATTTAAATCCTTGCAATTACTCATGTCATAATAAATGTTCCAAAGAGGAATGCCTAAATATAATAATATACTCCTCCATAGCATAATTAGAACATATTTTCATATATTGTTTTTATGTTTATTTGTGGTTTTGTGCATTATAGAGATTGATTGTAAGCAAAGGGCATACTTTTCTGTAGGCATTTTTTCTGACATATATCTGTAAGAAGACAGCTCTGTATCTAAAGACATGAGATGGATTTATTAGGCAAATTGTATGACTATATGAACAGGAAAATCTTTGAGGATTCCAGTAGAGTTCTAAGAAAGACAGCAGGATCAAGGAATAGTGTAAAAGGTTATATCTGCAAATGTGTTTGAATTGCCTAGCTATGTTAAAGTAGCTGTGCTTTGCTAGACGTGCACCTATTATTTAACCTTTTTAGAATACATCCAACTTATGGCATACATTTGCATGACTGGTGATTTTTGTTCCTCATTAAATGTACTTCTAGCTGACTTTCACAATGGTCCTGTATATGTCATTTTCTGAACATTTGAAAATCAAATTTAAGTTACAATAACAGTATTCACTATGACAACGTTCAGTACCTAATCAAAGACTGCAGATTTTACAACTTACTTTTCTTTCATAGCTGTTAAAACTTTAATGTTGGATATGTGTTTTGGTTTGGTGCATGCATTTTAAATTATAAGTTATAAAAACTGTTTTAACATGAGCAAATACAACCCAAACTTTGAGGTGAAGCTAAAAAAAAAGTTTAACTCATACTCAGCAAAACAATGTTTGAATGACTTCCAATATATGGTGAACCAATCACCATTGCCCTTATTTAATAATCTGAACAGTCACTCTAAAATTACTTTTGATTTTTATGAAATGTTTTATATTTAAACCTTCAATTTCCCTTCTGAGTCAATCCCCAGTTTATTTCAGGAGGTCAGAGGTCATGTAGTAACAGTTGCTCTTCTTACTGACCTTACACACATGCAAGCTGGATTACATCCACAGTACAGTATGTGTTGATCAATGCTGTATTAATATTGCGCTTCAAGTAAAACTGCGACAGACAATTTTTGTATATTCTAATAATGTATCTACATATATTATTAGGCAGTAGATAAGCTTTCAGTCAAGATAATTAAAAAATGGCACACTCCAAGATGGGGTTAAAATGGTATATGCGGCAACAATTAAAATAAGGATGGACATAAAAAGGAGAATGTGCATGTAAATATATACATGCGTGAAAACCACAATATAATTGTAAAGTCCTAAATGAATAGTCCTTAAAAGAGTTCTGAAGCACCACTGGATAGGAGGCAGCCAGCCAATAACTAGCTAGAGAGACCGTGTAAGAGATCAGGAAGGAAGAGGCGCCCTCTAAGTGCAGTATACAAACTCTTTAATATGGTAAAAATAGAGTAATACAGGCCACTCACAAAGGGTAAGGTGAATTGCACTTGTGATCTAGAAAATCATCTGCTTCGTGAAGAAATGGGAACCTCTAGGCACATGGGGAGATCCAGTGTAAGGCGGTGATGCTGGTGGCTTCCAGAATGTCCACCGAGTTTTGGGATTCCCTCAGAGTGAAGAAGACGTCACTTCGGGTCATGTGATGGTGGGGGTTGGCGTACATTCGGAGCATGCGTGCTCCCTCGTCACATCGTGGAGGAGTCCTCTTGGAACGAGCCACTTATACCTCTAGCAAGGAGAGGGGTGGCAGAACTGCCGCTTGTTACTGCAACTTAGGAAAAGGTATCAGCGGCAAGTAGGCTCATGCTATTGCGCAGGAGTGACACATATATAACATTGTAAGATATAAAACATGATGATAAAAGACATATAAAGGAATGTAAAAAAATTTAAAAATGAAGGTAAAAATTATGCATATATATATAATATGTACCCGATCGGCTGACTGACTGACACCTGAGGAAATATAGTAAGCTGAGTGGGTGGGGAAAATGGGTGACTGGGCACAAAGAGAAGGCAAATTTATTAAATACCTTCTTCAGCTCTGTGTATACAAAGGAGCATGGGGGAGCTCTTGTCCATAATGGGC